AGGTAAGCGCCTGCGTTTGCGAACTCCCAGGAACAGACTGAGCAGGAGTCACGTGCGGATGCGGTGATGGCTCAAGAGGACTGGTTGCCAAGGAGCCCGATTGTTGCTGCTGTTGTGGAGGGAGATAAATACCGCTAGGAGTGGATGCAGTAGAACGAGGGCCCTGATCGCCCACGGAGGACGAGGTGCGCGCGCCTATCAGATGCCCGGGTCCAGTAGGGCCGTGACTATGGTCGCGAGAATTACTGCCTAAATCGCCGCCACAACCATCTTGTCCACCACCAGACGAGACAGAACCGTCGTCAGCCGACTGGGTTTTTCGGCGACGAGGTTTAGCACGCTGCTCCAGTTTTTCGGGGGCTGTAGAAAATTGATGCATATGAAAAGGCAAGAATATACATATATGCATATACTCACATATATATATATATATATATATATACATATAGAATGAAGCAAGAATTGTAATAGAACAATCTAAATAAATGAAAATTATAAAGCAACAGCCTTATTCATTAATGAAAAATATCTGACCAATTTTTACGCGTTTAAAATCTACTTGATATTTAGCGAAGAGAATCACATATAAAGAAGAAGTGAGCCTTAAAATGGCCAGAAACTGAACAATGCGAAAACCCAGTAGCATTACTGGACAGAACCGGTGAGCTTCAAGCGAAAGCAGTTGACTAGCCGAGTTATTTGAGATAAAACGTATTTCCTGTTCCCTGCTAGTTTATTAGTACTAGCAACGTTTTGAACGGCTTTCCAGCATAGAAAAGGGGCTGCCAAATTATGAGATTATTTCCACAGGCATCGCTACAGTCCGAAAAATCCAAACGAGGTATACTGCGATAGTGCGATCCTAATGACTTACAGTGTAGATAAAACCATTTAGACCAGGTTCAGTAAAAAATGCAAAACAATGCACTTCGTTTTCAAGGATTGTAAATGTATAGGTACTCAAGTAGCCTAAAAGGCATAAGAAGTAGAACAAAGAAAAGTCTTGGTAAGAATGATCTAAATTTTTATAAAATAAGTAGTGGGAAATGTTCCATATAAGTTCACAAATAAATGTATGAAATTAGATAACAGTCTGGATGGTCTTAAGGAGGTCAAGAAATCGTCACGGAAGCGTAAATAGACAACGAAGTTATTCTCCAGTAATAAAGTAATGTTTAGATTATAATAAGAGATTAAGAGCGTAAGTGATCCTTTACCGAGCTTTCAGTAGTAAGCAGTAAGAAGAAGCTTAAATCGTCTATTTAATTTTCATTAATAAAAAAGGATGCGCTAATAGCTTGCCTGCAAAATCCTAATCACTACAATATTTGCAAGATCCCAATTAAATTGCTTTTAGAATGAGGATTAAAACCTTGGTAACAAGGGCCAGTTTAAGGCATTATGGATCATTTGATAAACGATGGTATATAAAAAGATCGTAGAAGGGAAATTTTAGACTCTGAATTCAGCAGGTTTTTCGAGTCAAAGGTCGCTGTTAAAAGAAAAAAGCTAGCCATAAATGT